TATATTGGATTGTATATATGTATATCTAGTTCTTCTCTTTTTTAAAGTTCGTCTTTGCAAACTTTGACTTTTTTATTGTGTGAACTTGAGAGCGAATAATTCATAATTGAAATAATTAAGCTAATAAATCTCATAACAAAGTCCATTTTATTTTAAGAAAAAAACGGTTCTTTTTTTTACGAAATTTTATAAAATAAATCTAATAACCAACTCTCAAAAAATGATGAACGGTATATTTAATTCAAAAAATAATCAAACAACTACACCTCTACCGTCAATACAACGAGTATTTCTTCGGTCAGTGGCAGCCGAAGACCCAGAAGGACGGTTCACGATTGTCAGAAATATACAAACTTATTACAAGGTAGCATTACCACAACCACCACCACCAGCAGAAAATCCGGAGCAAAAAAAGCCAGTAATAGTTTTATTGCATCATTTTATGGGGAATCTGTATACGTGGCGAAGTCTTATGCAGCCACTTGCCGATACTACCGGTCTGCCGGTTGTCGCATATGATCGTCCCGCGTTTGGGTTCACGGAACGATTAACCACGTGGGAAGAAAATAATAATCCGTATACACAGCAATCGTGTTTAGATTTTTTAATTGAACTGTTGCGAAATATTGGTTATGGAGATCGAAAAGTTGTTATTATGGGTACTTCGAGTGGTGGCGCAATTGCTTCCGCTCTTGCGATTAAATATCCTGGATATGTGCTGGCTATAGTGTTGCTATGTCCTGCTCTGAGACCAGAAGATCAAGGTTCATTCGATTCTCTAATTAATAAAATCATTATTTAATGTAAAGCATTGAATTAACCCATAACATGAATAAAATAGGTCCACCTCCATTAGCTCGTCATATTCTAACTTCATTACCAGGACGTCTATTCTTAAAGGCAGCATTATATCAATATATTCCCCTCACATCATTATATCATAACGCTGAAACAATTCCACAGTGGGAAACGGTAATAAGACCAGCCTACCGTGTCCCGCTAACGCTCCCAAATTTCTACGAATCAGTCAACAACGTGATGCGATATTTTGTCCCATTAGAAATCTTGGAAAATCGGCAAGCGCTTCTCAGGAACACCCCGATTCTCTATATCACCGGAAATAACGATAAGTATACGTCCGAAGAAATACATCGTCAAATTGCTGCAGATATGACAAGTAATATGCCGGAAGGAGCGGTGTTTGAGTTTCATGTGTTGCCAGACTGTGGACATATACCACAAGATGAGAAGCCTAGAGAAGTGTTTGAGTTGACATTGGATTTTTTGAAGCGGATGGGTGTTTATCAGCCGAGAATTTGTTGAGTAATTATTTGGATGGTACACATGATCGGTTGTTTATACGAGTGACTAGAGGGAAGAAAGACGATTTTATAAATCTACAAGAATATGTATGTTAAAATAAAGTTTGTCTGGGGTTGATTAATCCCATCGTTTGGTTTGGGATTCACTGAACAAAATAAAAATCGAAATTAACTTATTGTGTGATTTTTTATATCATATATGGTGCGAGGCATCTTAACTAGCCAATAAAATTATGTAACTTTAAGATCTATCAAAGCTCTATAGAGATAGAATTTAGAAAAATTAAACCAGTAATATTGTTCTTTGATATAAGCTCTATCAAACTACCGGTCAGAATTTTAAAAAAAGTTTTATAAAAAAAGTTATAAGCATTTAAACTTGGATACTTTTTATATGTTTCGGTCAAAATTGCAAAAGTTTCGTTTTTGATATATCAGGAGTTCCGTTTTTGATAGATCGGCAAGTACCCCAAATTTAGGTTCCGTTTTTGATATATCTACAGTAAAGTCACGTTTTTATTATTGCCCTGAGGTTTATCCGTTGCATTATTATTAGCTATATTCATGATATCAGACATATAATCATAGCTCATTTATGATATTCCACGATCCTCTTTCTTTCCCAAGTATAATGACTATCCTTTGCTAGAAATACAGTAGTAGTTGATTTATTGCATTGTATCATTGTAATAATTTATTTATTAACTAGCAAACATAGGTGATGGTAATTATAATATATAATAAAGATATTGAAATCTTTAATTATTATATTAATATGGACAAAACCGCTAAATATTAACAGAGATTATTTTTTCAAAGCTGAATATCTGAGTGTTATTAATACTTTTCTGCAAGCTTCATCAATTTTCTCTGCAGAATATAACAGTTCCTGCCAAATATATGGATTTTGAATTGGCATTGAAGTCTCAATAGCCATATTAGAATAAGTTTGAAGACTTGAACTTGATGACAAAGTCTGAAACTTATCACAACAGGATTTCTTGTAAGACTAATAGATGTAATTTTAGCACTAAAAAATGAGTTAAATAAAAAATTAATCAATTTATTGATATTATTTATTAATCTCTTACTGTTAGTTCCCATTTTAAATTTCTGATACTTTGCATTTTGCATTTTTGTGCAGATGATGACAAGTCTTCATTAGTTATTTGAGTATTTAAAATTTGATTAGTCTTATGAGGCTTTGCAGATAACTTAGAAAGAGCACCCACATTACTTTATTATCTTTGATTCAGTTCAAAGGGATGGAAGAGATCTGTACAAACAGAAGATTGCAAACTGGATGAATAAAAAATTTTATCCCCTAAAAAAGAAGACTGGTTAGTAATTGAATCAGAATACTTGATATACATAACACTAATCAGATAATTACCTTGAAAAATATAAAGATGTACTATATAATTGTAAGCATCTTCTACTAATTTAGAATATATCATTTTATTTTTTTGATCAGCTGGCAATACTCTTTCTTTATTTTTAAAATATGTCACTAGTTTGTTCTTGGTCTCTTCATAGAATTTTTTATAATCTGACTTTTCAGCTTCTGAAAATATTTGAGCAGCATGATAATATTTATAAATATCATGAAATGATTCTCTTCAAATATAATCTAAACAGAATAGATATTCACCAGTCACAATATTAGTCAGATAATATCTCTCTCTTGACTCAATTTCAAAGATTGCAGAGAGCTTTTTCATCATAGGCTGAAGATACTGGAAATAGTTTTCATCCATATGAATAAGCTCCTTATTTAATAGTTGATACTCAATTAATAAATTTTGATTTTTCTTAATAAAATAGTAATTTGAATAGTTTGAATTTTCAACATAATATAAAAAAAAATATAATCATTCCTAATTTAAATGTTAATTCATATCAGAGATCATCTTTATAGATTCATTTTCCTGTAAGTTGATTTAAATAATTTAAATTATTTATTTATTATTTTTTTTAATTGAATTTCTAATTATTTATCTTTAACTTACCTGTTCTATAGCTTGCATATTAAATAATATTACCAAGTCAGATTTGTAAGTAATTTGGTCAGTTTCTTCTTCATAATAGTTTTTATATAACAACTTCATTCTATATAATCTTTTAATAAATGTTACTATGTTCTGCTTGCCTGACAAAGATGATTCAATTATTCTATTAATTCACTCTGTATAATTATTAGTTGTCATTGAATTTGATTCAAAGTGATTTTTAGAAAGCTGACCAGTATCAATAAATGCCATTCTCTATTCATCATATATCTAATTATTATCAAGATTATTGGTAAGTCTTTCTTTTTGCTCTTGAGTTAGAGAGAGCAAGTTAATAAGTTTCTTATAATATGAAGATATTTCAAAAGTCTCTTGTTTAGTATGATATCTATCAATTAGCTTAAATTCAAGCATAATCAAATACCTAATTATATAATTTTTTATTAAAAATAATTATTATTATTTCAGATAATAATTTGATTTAATGAAATAAATATCAGTCTTAGTTAGTGTGAAATATTTCATTCTTTAAGGTGATCATTTAATATCTGCATTATATGAAATCAATAGAGAATAGTTTCATGAAGAAGTTCTTGTATACTCTATTTTTGTTGGCCAATATTTGTCAATTATGACTATTAGGCATCATATTCGAGTTAATTAACAATCTCTAATTTTTTGAAATCTTTTCCATTTGGCAGATCTTCATAATACCATAGATAATTGCATTAGAGTTCAGAGCAGGATATATTTTCTTGTACTGCAGTAATTGCCAGTCTAATCATCTAATTGTTCTCTTTGTTACTTAATCCTAATATAGTTAATATTAATATTAATTCATATTTTATCTAGTAATTAAGATTAATCTATTACATCTTGTCTTACTGAATGCTAAAGAAGTAGCATGCTTGATTTTATTCTTAACTATTATTAATAGCACTGAAGTCTGATCAATATTTAGATCATATTTTCTATTAATATCCAAGTAATACTGATCATAATCTTGTTTATTCTTTAATCAGAACTTATCAGAGACTGTTAACTGATAATAATAGTTAGCTATTTCTTCAGGCTTGGACAGATCTAATTGTTAATAGTATAGCACATAACCCTTTAGAACTTCTATTATCAAATAATATAAGATTATTCAAGGGCCAGTGCTATCTTTGAGTCTTTTATTTTCATGAGTAATAAAGTATTTGAGAATTTTATTATCACAGACTTCATGATTAATTAAAAATATATTTCTTAATGCATCTTTACCATTATTATTATAAGAAATAAGTAATATTCCTTTAATTCTTCTAACCATTTTATGATCTGCACATCTACCAATAGTAATTTTATCTCTCTTTTCTCTAGTTAAATTAATCTGAGAAATTTGGATATTTTGAGACATAATTACATGAGATGGAAGATGCATTTCTTCAATCTTTATGTGAAATGCATGGATTATGTTTAAATAAGATAAATATAAATATAAATAAATTCTAACTGAGTATTAATGTATATTATTACTATTCTTTAAATTGTTTGACAAGTTATAGTTTATATAATTTTATTCATATTTACCAATCTCTTCATACAAATGTTAATATCTATTTTTATTATTAGCATAATATATTAGCCAGTGCCAACATAGTTTATCTTTTTCTATTCCTATACAAATATTATTCACTTGATTTTGGTCTTTTTCTGTAAATTCAAGAATATCATCAATTCTATTATGAATTTTCTTATATCAGAAGCTTCCCATTCAATATAATTCATGACTCTCTCAATATGACATAATTTAATTAATCCCTCATGAATTAATTGATTAATATATAAATAACTTTGAAACTTTAATCATGTATTTTTCAAGAGAGAATGGTTTATAATATATCATTTGGCTGCTTGACCAAAAGGAATCAAAATAGTACTGTCATTATTATTGTAATAATTTTGATTAGATTATCTCTCTTTAGATTTCTTTTAGCTTAGATCTTCATTTTACGCTATCTGTATAACAGATTAGCTTTGTATTATATTTTAAGAAGATCATTTTCACTCTGGATACACAGATAATCATTATGTATTTAATATATCTAGATTTAGCATATTGTTACTCAGATGATTACCATGTGTATCACAATTATTAATTTAGACTATTAATATTTTTAATTACTTTTATTATTAAT